CCCCCCCTCTGCCATACATTATGAACGCAGCCTTACAGGGACTGTACCCTTAAGCTAACAGCCCCAGTCAGTATATTCAAGACCTCCAGAACAGTTTTTAAACATCCATATAGCTATACAATTCAGGCAAACTACAGTAGGCAGTAAAATCCTTCCGGGTGCAAAAATAACTTATCTAACCCTTTTGGGTTGTCTCTTTTTCATCCTCACCTATTTTCTTAATCTCATTTTTGGAAAATTGTATGTAGAAAATAAAACCCTTTGAACCTATGGCAAAAGATTGCAACATGAATTCCAACTCAAATGAAAACTGATCATCTTAGTCTTCTCCTTTCACAGGTGTTACAATGCAATACAATGCAGGTTAGAAAAAGATTAATTATAAACATACCTTTTTTGGGTTTGATTACATTATTTACTTGTTCCTCAAGCTCCTTTTCCCATTCATTGTATCGTCTCACTTGCTCCTCTCTCATCTTCACAAATAAAATCTGTTTTTGTTCTTCTGGTAGTTCAGCCAGAAGATCTGGGTCTACATACATCTCCTTCAATATCTGGGCCAACATCTTGAAATTGGTTGTGCTACTGATAAAAAATAAACACATATCCCCATTCATATGATAATAGTGTAATGATGAGGATGGTACATGTTGAGGTAATTAATGATAGTAGTGATAATCGTGACAATGGTATTGGTGGTGATGATATATCGAACAAACACAAAAAAAACTTCTTACAGGGGTTGTTACAAAAAAAGAAAAATCATGCAACATAAATTACTGCAACCTTCCCGTCAATCATCCAGTGGTCAATATCTTAATATACCAGTATTGGATGCAATAAATTGCCAACTCAAACAAATATCTGGTAAACATGACAACCTGAATGGTAAACAATTTTTATTGGCCTTGGCTGGACATTTGATCAGCCAAAAATGTGCAAATGGCCTGACAAATGACCTAGCTTCTTTAATATTAAAAAAATCAAATGCAGCCTTGTAACAGGAAATTACAATCCAGTTGGCCATTGTCAACGACAATACAGATCAGCCGATCAAATTGAATACATGTTAGTTATGGATCAAAAGGTTAAGGACTGAAAACACTTTCAACTTATAAGTCTTCTTTCTTCAGAAATAGAATACAGTAAGGTTGATAAAAAATTTTGATTTATCTTTTGATTGATCATAAAATTTGTTATAATATAATACTCACTTTCACTTCCTAAGGTTTAGTTCTTATGTAATTTCAATCAATTCTTTTCAGTAACATTCCAAGGTAAAAGAACAAACCAGAGAGAAGAATCAGAACTGTAAAAAGGATGATGAATACAGCTGCACAACAGATGATGCGATTATGCATAACAATCGTCTGCCATCTTGCCAACGGCTCAGACAAAACCAAGGACTGAAACATAAAAAAACAATATTTATTGCTAAATACCAGTATTAATAACAGGTTCTATTTATTGAAAACAAAAACAATAAAGCTTGTTGCTAATCAAGTCACTAACTGTTCCTCTAGAGATCACTCACTCAGAACATTTATAATAACACTTCTTGACTGAACAAAATCCAAGTTCTTCTTATAACCTTGCTCTCAATTGTTGCAAAATTTGAATATGCATTCTGCACAAGAGGTTATCTTCTCAACACATAACATCAAAAACTATATATCTATCTAAACATATTTAGAGCTAACATTCCATTACAACAAACATTAATCTAGCATAACATGATTATAATAATAATTGGTTTTGAAATCCATTTCAGTTTCATACTCTATAATTATGAATTTTAGTAAAAGAAAAGAAAGTATTTTAGTTTCCTTAATAGCAATATCTTGAATAGTAAATATAAATACTTAAGTGGACTTCTATTGTACCAATAATGATATAAATATAAATGTAAATCTAAGATATTATATACAGATGTAATAATACATGTTTCATAATATAACTATATACACATCGAGTATCAGTTTCACAAATTATAATTCAAAATGGAATAAAATCAAGAAATGGAGTTTAGCAATGACATAGTAAACAGGACTGAATCTTTTGGAGAATCATAAAAGAGTTAACCAAAAAGTATTCAGTGCAAAACAAAAATGTATATATTCTAAGGAGAACAATTACAAACTGAATTAGCTCATTAATTATGTTATCAAAACAATAATTTATAAAGAGATTCAAACGCCATAGCTGATGAACAAGTTAGCTATTTAAGAAAATAAAAACAAATCATACGCATAAAACACACATTAAAGGAATGGGTTTTATTTTAATGCTTACATATCTAAACTCATTATATTAAGTGATAAAGGAACAATATGCATAATTTTTGAAAGCTATAAATAATCTTTTCTCTCTAAATTGAGTTCCAACTTATTCACCGATTTTAGGAAAAGYTTAGGATTTAAAACCTAGGCTTAATAGTAAGTAAATAATGATGAAAGTAAAGTCTTCAGACTACATACTTATAAACTTTGTACTTTACTGTTGACATACTAAAAGTTAGTTGTTTCTGGATTTACGAAGTCATAAAGTCAGATTTCTTAGTCACTTTTTTTAAAAGTTATAAATAAGAACTAAAGAAATTATGATGGATTAACGTTGAAGTAGATAAAAGTATAATTTTTAGGGCTTTTTATCTCGTAGATTGGGATTAAAGACAGCTACTTTTATTGCCAAATGGAGACGACATTTTTGGTAATCGAGTTTAGGAAGTGAGCAATAAAATTCAGCTTACGAGCAGAAATAGCTTCAGTTTGGCTACTATATACTTTGAAAATGTCTTATAGCTGTCTTCAAAGGATCATAGAAAGTGGAAATCTTGTTTGGGTGAGATTTAAGGGATGTAAAACGACGGAAAGACATGAAATTCTATACCGATTACACACGGGCATAGTCATGCTTTTCAAGTACGACTCGATCGGGAAGGAAGACCTAAAATAAGAATACTTTACCTTCGCACATCTCTGATCACAGTGCAAAATTAGCCTTAAAATGAACCAAATAAATTATTCAGAAACAAAGGAACCGAGTATAGAGATCCAGGTTCAAATTATAGGGGTAAATTCCTGATGATTGTTATATCTCTGGCTTTCCATAAAGACACAACCCAAATGGTGCTCCTATAGGAAGTAATTCCGAGATGGCGTGATGTCACTCTATTGTCAAATCCACCAATCACTGGTTACTATTCTGTAGAGTTAGGGTAGTGGGTTGCGTGACTCATCTTAAATCCTGTCAAGGCACGCATGTTAGGCAATATTAATTATAAATAATGACGACATATTTTATTGTTTTAAAATATTAAATGAAAATATCAAAACAAAACTCAGTGGATTCCACAGATTGGCTCTTCTTCCACTGGATTCCAATTGGAATTTAGAAGTTGATTTTTGTGAGTGGAGGAAAGCCGGAGAAACCGGAAAACCCTCGAAGCACACGGAGGGAACCAACGAGCAACTCTACTCACATACGACACCGAGCTCGTCGGGACTCGAACCCGAGTAAGTAGGCATAGTAACTAGGCATAGTATACTGATCAAAACGTGGACATCACACCCTCCACCCTCACACCTCTCATTAAAAAACACCAATAGGTTCAATATAGGCCCCAAGAAGTGTTCGCCCACCTTTAACCAAGCCCCTTCTTTACAGGTTTTCTCTCTAGTTTGATCAGTTTACTTGCTAATTCTAATCTTTTTAATTTCCGGATCGGTATCTTCCCATCCCACCCTACCCTTATCACCCAGTTTTGTCCTCCCCTTGCATCCTAAATACTTTGGAAATTTATACCGAACGTAACCTGTGTTGATAAGAAGTAGATATAAAACATAGCTCGATTTATACTAATTATAAACACAATCGATTCAAATGATCCAGCCGTTGCATTAACCAGGGGCGTAGCGACGAGAGGGGGCAACACCCCCACCCCTCCACTAAAAAAAGACTAAAAATCGTAAAATTTCTTTTTCCTTCTCTTTTTGTGAAAGATAATAAGTCTAATTTTTATTGATTTTGATAGTTTTTCTTTTAATATGATTGCAAGTTACTGTTTTGCACCACCACTCTCCACTCTCGGTAACAAAATAAACGCGTACTTACGCGTGACTATTGACGGGAAATAGTACATCCCCCCCCCGTACCTGTTGTCAAGACCTTGCTACGCCATGCACTGCATTAAAAAAGAAATAGCTACAACTAACTAGACAGATTTGCATCATCTTTTAGCATGTCTGTCGTCTGGGATACTTTATCCGGTATTTCAGTTTCAGAGGTAAATGAGTCCGTACACAGTTAGCAGGGGACACACTCAGCTCTAAGGAACTGATTGTCGACTACAAATATTGTTCAATATTTCTATATAATTATGCCAGAAAAGCTAATTTTTTTCATTTTATAGTAGATTTTTTAGGTGATCTTAGGTGTAATTTTGAGTGCAATACTGGGTCACATCATCAGGGCCGCTGCATTGGTGGAGTCCGCAAAAAAGGCTATGCACAGGTAGCCTATATGCTTAAATCTGCATCTCGAAAAATCTTAAGACGGCCATCAAAGCCATCAAATGTTTTAAAAAATTTGATGGACATAGGGATGGAAATAAGTTTCTTACAGCTTTTAAAATCTTTATCGGAAATCTCTCTGTGATGCATAAAAATCCTCTAAATATTAGTAGCCTTGCGGTGAAATATCGAGTATCTAAATGATTGCGTCACTGAGTAAAAAATTTATTATTATGACCAAAGCACTTTTTCATTATTAAGATTTTATTAATCAATTAACTTAATTTATTTTTTATTCATGACTACATGGTGTGAGAAAGGCCTGGGTGCTAGTAGGTAAACATGTTGGTAGTCATAGCAACAAGCTAATGAGAGGCTCGTTATCGTGAAGACAAAAGTGAAGCGTTTTGATGGCGGACTTTAGGATTTGAAGACTTTACAAGATTTGTACTGAAAGCCTTTAACTATCACCAGAAACGACCCCATCGTATTCTACTTACGCTATTTATTGGATCTGCGGTTGTGATTTGAAGCCAGAGAAAAAGACAGGCGATAAAACGCGTAGTTCTTGATTGAGTAATTTCTTATGGTTTCTACGCGTGGAACTTTGAAGACAAAAAACTAGTGTTTTTACGCTTTGATTGCCTTATTACATCAATAATCAACAAAGAGTATAACAAGGTTTGATAAAGAAGACAATCTGTCTTGGAAGTGCTGGTACAACTAGAGATCGGAGACACTATTGATTTACAACAGTTGGATTCCAGCCGTTAAGGAAGAGCAATTTGTTTTGAAAATATAGCTGCTTCCACCAGGCTTCCTAAACGTATAAAAAGCGCTTTCTTTCACGTCGTATTACTCTGTTTAAAGAAACACACGATAAACTGTCTGTAATTCAAGAGTAGATGTGAAAACCCACTGTAACTTTGACAAGCATGTGTTCAAAGAGATCTCTTCAAACACGAGTTTGATTTAGAACTCAAATATTCCAAATTGCTTGATGATTTCGTCAAGGGAAAGATGAACAAGCTATTGTATTTCTGTGTTATCAAGTTATTAGCTAGCTAGTTTGTACATGGAGAGATCCTAGTTGAACATTATAAATGGAAAAATACGAAAACTTGGGACTTGTTGGAGAAGGATCGTATGGGATGGTGATGAAATGTCGCCACAAAGACTCCAACCAAATCGTCGCTATCAAGAAGTTTATTGAATCTGAGGATGATAAAATGGTAAAGAAGATTGCTCTTCGTGAAGTTCGAATGCTAAAGGTTAGTTTCCATCAAGTTAAATTCCATAAATTAGAGAAAATGTTTACGATCGATCGACGTATAAACTGCAAAATTTAAAATTTAACTGCTTAACAAATAAAAGTATGTATGTATGTATGTATGTAATGTTTCTGCGTTTTCGGGAAGTTCAACATCTTGTCTACTTTTCTGAGCTGATCTTTCTCTCCTTTTTTCCTTGAAATTTATTTTCTCAGTAAGCTTATATTTTTTTCTTCAATTCCGTCTCTCTTTATTTGCTTCTCCAACGTGTCTACTCCTTTAGTTACAATGATTTCATAATTTTCTTTGTAAACAAATTATTGTAGACATGTTTTATTTTTGCAATATGAAAGTTTACCGATGTTTGTTGACATAAGGCTTTTAACGCGATCGACGAGCATTTTGAACTAAATAAATGATTACAAATTTTCCTCTTAAAATACAAAAGAGCTCCTTATTCTGGCTTTTTATTTTGGGTGATCGATGTTTATCTGGATGCTCAAAAAAACTTATTCCAAAAAATAGAAAGGTAGCAAGGAATTAATCTGGCTAAAGTTTGTTAGTTAGTTTGAAGATCAAACTTATTCATTTCATGATCACAGAAAATGTTTCCTATATATAACGTTCTTACTTTCTAAGTCTTAGTATTATTCCTGCATCATTAAATCAAGCCTAATTTCGTAACGTTATAACAAAGTGCTTAGGATTTCTATGGCAATATGTGTTAACAATGATGTAATGAATTCTTTAGTCTGAATATGAATAATTATAACACTATCATTAAACATTTTAAATGACAAATATTGGTCGTGGTTCGTCAACTTACAATATGATGACTGCATCACCTCATTTTAGCACATTTAAAGTAATTCAAATTCTTATCTTAAGCTGAAAATGATAAAGCCTAAGTACCTGACATGTTGAGTATCACACATACATTGATCTACTTTAATGAGGGAGTCATTCAAACTAACCCAATCTTTACAAGTATCATATCAATAGGACCTAGAACCAGCTATTCTCAATAACAATATCACATAATTTTACCTCAAATTATTTGATAATGATTGTACGTGCCAAAGTACAAAATAAAATTTTTTCAAAGAGTCGAAAACGAATTCCGAAGAATAGCCTGATGTATTGATGCAAATATATTGTAGGGGAGGTTATTAAGAATTTAAGAATTAGGAAGTCCTCCTTTCAAGAACAGCTGTTTCAAGGYGTCCATAGGAGTATTTTTTTATTCAGCGATAGCAGATCAATGACACTGGGGGGCGGGATCTAGAATTTTTTTCTCAATGTGAAACTCAAATTAAGACACAAAATAAAATTTTATTCTCATAAAAAGTAGGAGGCCTTTCATTAACCTGACTCTGTCATCCATGTGGTATAAAGTTTTAAAATATTTATGCAGCATCCCTGTGATGTTTTGAAATGCCATGACATAACTAGATAAACAGGTGAAGTTGGTATTATCATTCTATGTAAAATGAAATATCTTTTTCCTCTTTTTTTTTTTTTTTTTTACAGCAACTACGCCATGAAAACCTAGTCAATTTAATTGAAGTATTTCGTCGCAAAAAGCGTCTGTTCCTGGTCTTTGAATTCGTAGATCATACAGTCTTAGATGATTTAGAAAGATATCCTAATGGCCTTGATGAACTGACAGCTAAGAAAATTATGTGGCAGGTACTGAGGGCTGTGGAATTCTGTCACAATCATAATGTAAGTGAACATCATTGTTATATGTTGGGATAGCTCACCTCTCACCAATGCGACCAAGTGGGTTCAAGTCCCACTTTGCTCGGTGTCGCATGTGAGTAGAGTTGCTTGTTGGTTCTCTCCTGTGCTTCTCACCAACAAGTGGGTTCAAGTCCCACTTTGCTCGGTGTCGCATGTGAGTAGAGTTGCTTGTTGGTTCTCTCCTGTGCTTCAAGGATTTTTCTCCAGTTTTCCTCCCTTGCTAAAAATCAACTCCTAAATTCCTATTYAGAATCCAGTGGAAGAAGAGCCACTTTGTCAAATCCACTGTTAATTCCCATTATTTATTATGTGCTAAGCCTTTGTTTTCTGTGGTTTTTGTAATGTGTTATGTAATTATTATGTGTACTATTATTGCAAGCAAATTACTTTACCAGTATACACTTAGTTAAAAAATGTACTGTCAAATGTACAGAAATAAATTGTAAAACCAAAGCAAAGTAAAACAGTTACACTATAAGATTAAATTGGTGTTTGTCATACATTAGGCTCTTATTTTTTTGGAACAAACAAGCAAGTGTATATCTATGGAAATAAATTATCATCCTCTATCTTTGAGTTAAATTATCACCATTAACACTCTCTTAACAGCTTTTTATGGTTGAATAGTAATGAATAATGAGATGATCTAAAACAAAAGAGAAGCTTCCCTGTCATTATAACTTAAAAKATTATCTAACCAGGTAGCGTTAAGGACTGATAAAATAGTACTTTATGAACTTCAAAATGACTGGGGATTTTTTCATTCTTTTTATACAGATTATTCATAGGGATGTTAAGCCTGAAAATATTTTAGTTTCTAAAAGTGGAATTGTGAAATTATGCGACTTTGGCTTTGCTAGAACATTAGGTAAGTTGTTGATATTATTATATAGTAAATATTATGTCTATTTATGAGAAAAATGAATGCAAAAAGATTACTTATTTTTTCAAGGAAAAGAAAGGTGATTTCTCTTGACTAGCCCATGAAAAAAAATCTAATACTCAAATGAAAGAAAAGAAAATTTTTTGTCCACTAATGTCTGTAATACACACTAATATCTATATCACAGTTAAATTTGGAGTATAACATAGAATCATTTTAAAATATATTATTTATAAAAAACAACAGTTTCCTGTTTTTCTTTGCAACTTTTTTGAATTCAAATAATTGCAATTGTGAGATCTTTATCTAGTTTGCCTCATACGATATACAGCTGTAACTTCTGGAAGGCAAAGATGATAACGATAATAAACCTATTGTTATTATGTTGTACAGCGGCAGGGCCAGGAGAAGCTTATACAGATTATGTTGCTACTCGATGGTACAGAGCACCAGAACTGCTGGTTGGTGATACAAAATATGGAAGGTACATGTAAATTGTGAAAAAAAAATTCTTGTCTATGGACTTAGAAACTACATGTAGTGCTTTCAAATCATGGAGATATTGATCAATATGATAATGGTCCTTTTTTCATTATTCATATGGTAGCTGCTGTTTCTTTCATTACATCCTTGAATACTGCATATTCATGTGCACAAATGCATTCCCTACTAGCAGAGTCTCCCTYGGCGATTCTTGGCAGAGAAAATGGTAAAGAATCTGCCCAAAAACGCCGACAAGGGAGACTCTGCTAGCAGGGAACCAAATGCACAACTTCAATGATACAAACACTGTCTTATAAATAGACTTTTGGGTTTAATGTTTACCCATTTCAGACCAGATGAGTCTTTAGTCGTAAACACAGKGATATTTACTGAATAGGTAAAGGGACTATTCAAAACTTAAGTATTGTAACCATATTAATATGAATCATTTTCATTTTTTGTGTCTTTTTCTAGGGCTGTAGATATTTGGGCAATTGGCTGTTTATTGGCTGAAACTTTGACTGGAGAACCGCTATTCCCAGGAGATTCAGACATAGATCAGTTGTACCACATAATGAGATGTTTTGGTGAGTTGATCATAGTAGGATAATATTACATCTTATTGATAATTATCTTATGCTTGTGAGCACAGATTTGGCTATCAGTTTAATTCATTAATTCTTGAATTTGTTGGTTGTAAAGAAACTGTTGTAAAGAAACTGTTGTAAAGAAACTGTTGTAAAGCCAGTTTGATCGAGTCTCCCTGATTATTCTTGGGTGGCAGTGACCTCAAAGAAAAGACAAGATTCTCCTTTCCTTCTAATAATAACAATCATAATAGCTCTTATATTTATTAAGAACACAAACATCCTTACTATAAATTCTCTTGCCCATGGATGAGGTACTGTAAAAGGAGACTCTGTTGCAGGGTAACTTTTCCACCTTTCCAACACACCAGGGCTCGGTTGTACGAAGGGTGGATAGCTCTATCCTGTGGATAAATCGATGCTGTTATCCAATAAAATTATCCACTGGATAAAATTTGTCAGATAGCATTATCCACTCTTCATACAACAGGGCTGAGTATAAAGAGAAGGTTATTTCACATAAGGTAATAGGAACTATACGCACTCCAAACCATCTGTTGACCGACTGTTGGTCAACTGTCAACTAATTGCCAACCCATTAATGGGCATTTGTGGACTGTTTGTGGACCGTTATCTGTAGTATGTAGCAATGACCTATCAACTACAACTGTCAACCAACTGCTGACAATCTCCTGACCAACAGTCAGTCAACAGATGGTTTGGGATGCTAATAGTTGCTACTACCCTTGCATATCTTTGTTTGTCTTCATTTTCTTTTCCCATTTTATACTTGTTTCACAGGTAACTTGATTTCACGACACAAGGAAATATTTCAAAAGAACCCTCTTTTTGTGGGCATGAGATTACCAGATGTCAAGGAAGTGGAACCTTTGGAGAGGAGATTTCCTAGAATTAGCCCTTTAGCAATGGATTTATTGAAGGTACATTTTCATTCATCTTGTCTGCTGTGCCTGGATGTGCAGGGGCAGCAGAGCCTTTTTGAAATTGGGAGTATCTGGGGCTTAATGGTGCCAATCTCTGTCGTCGCTGTGCTGGTGTTTAACCCTTTGACTCCTGGGCAATTTTGGGTATTTTCAATGCTCACAACRTTTTCATTGGTTTTCGGAATGTAAGCCTTCTGCAACCCCTGCAGTTTGGATTGACACAGTGTTTTAAGCAAACAAGGGATGCCATTTACTGGTGGCATAATTTTCCAGTACAGAACACAGGTCGTTTGATGGAGAAATGGCAGCTCATTTTGGAGGTTTATTGAAAACTGGAAATTTTCAGAGCCATTTTGTCCATCTCTGAAAACCGGAATAAAAGATTTCCACTACCTAGACCAAGGCATAAAGTGCTGTAGGCCATGTTATTAAAGTATATTTGAGACAATTTGCATCCAATGTGGTCGTTTTATACTAACTCATTTTTTGCTTTCATTCCTTCAGCTTTGTCTCAAGATGGATCCTGCAGAACGACCATCTTCCTCACAGCTTCTTAAGCATGATTTCTTTAGGAAAGACAACTTTGCTGAAAGATTCACGCAAGAACTGAGAGCAAAAATAAACAAAGAGACAGCTGATAATCCACTGTTAAAGTTCCTCAGTGGCACAAAACATGATGAAGCTGAAGAGAGAGCAAGAAGAAAAGACAAGAAAATGAAAAAGGTTAGAAATGTCTTTCATATAGAAATTTTGAAAAGTTGAATCACATTCGTTCTCATAATATGTTATGCCCTTTGTGTACCTAGCTTATTACTATGCAGAAACTCAAGCTAGCATTTTGATATCTGCTAAAACAGGGTTTTTTAAACATCCTCACTGGATAAATGGTGCATGGAACCAGACCAAATCTCCATGTAGTATTGATGTCAGTGCCTCACTCTCACCTCAAATCAGCAAACCTCTACCCAGCTCTTGGAAATTGCATTCCCTGTCCATGGAGAAGATATAGATCAATCTTTTTCTCAAGCTACACAATATATATTTTCCCCAGATTTTTCTGACTCTTGAAAAAGTCCATCTTCTTCCATGCAGGATGTACAGTGTAAATTCTGAATAGGATATTTTCTGGAGTTAGTTAAATCAAACTGTTTTCTTCTGACAGCTGCAAGAAGCAAAAGRAGCCAAAGAAAGAGAAGCAAGGAAGGCTGAACTAAAAGATTCTAAGAAACACAAAGAGTCAACAAACACTGAAAAAGTCAGCAAAAAGCAACCTCTTCCTTCGACAAGTCAAAGCTCGTCATCACATTCAACACAAGAACACACAACAACGTCATCAAGCGTACACCATACACTTGCAGCTGCAACAACATCAAGTATGACAACATCGCATAGTACGCCTTCACATTCAACACCGGGAACACCCTTAGAGACAATTACGGCACCCAATAATGCACACGGGCGGCAGTTATCTCCTATACAAAGTGCAAGTGGTTTACGGAATTCCCCAACAAGACATTCGCCGCCATCAGAATCCCATTCCAACACACACTCTAATCCTCATGCAGTAACAAGTGTGGCTTCAGTGATTTCTAATAAAAGTAATGGCTCACAAGCATTGACGTTATCCAAGACTAATATAGGACTGGGTATGGTTGGTAGCCCAAGCCATGACTCGCCTTCTCTTGGTCCTCCAGCTTTCAGGTAATATGCAAGATACATCCCTGGGATAATATTACAGTGTGGCTATTATAACCAGGGCCACCTAAACAACAAGAACCAATCAAATTGTAGAATGAAAACAATACATTCCAACTTTGGGTAGTGGAGCTAATCAGAAACCAGCAGAGAACAATAGCCTTTCAGCATCTTTTTATTCTCACAAGAAAATAGAGATGGCTATCTAGTTGTTTACTCATAACATCAGGCTCAAATTACCATTCTTGTGCAGTCTAGGTTTTTGATTGGCTCGACATTGGTTCTCACTGTCTAGGTGGGCCTGGTTCAGGGCTCGAAATAGCGGCCTGCCAATGGCCAAATGACAGGACAAATTTCAGGTTGGCCAGGCGAAAATAAGGATGCACTGCCAAATGAATAATAAAAAGGCATGCAAAATTTACAAGAATGATCTCCTTTTACCATACTCCTTTACTATGGCAGGCTAAAAGAAGTTTTCTATTTCGAACCCTGTGGTTGTAGTAGTTGCTGCACTGTAATAGTAGCTCTTCTAAGGATTCAGTTCAGTTTTGTAACTAAAAGTTAATTTACCTGATTACCTGCTGGCAGCCATGTTAGATGTCAGTTACTCTGGAAAAATGCAAATCCTTCTCATCTAAATTAATGATTTTTGTATTGTTCCCGCCATTCAATATGGCATCTACCTCGATGTTATTGCACAAACCTTTGTGATGTATGACAGAAAACCAAAGGCTCATAGAGAATAGTGTATTTTATTCTCAGGCTTTTCCTGATCATTTTGTTTACACTAGTTTCATTCCTTTCTGATTGCTGTCTTGATACCTGCTGATCAAGACAACAGTTGCAGGGAAGGAACTGGGAAATTGAGAGTATGTAAAAGTGCATGGGAGCCTACTCTGGTTTATTGACGGTAGTCCATTGCGTGATTTCCCTGTCACAACTGTTGTCTCCTTCGGCATGCAGCAATGTAAAAAATAGTAAACAGAGCACAGGAAAAGCTCTTCTATTTTCTGACTAAGGTTTCAGTGATAGTCTTGAGTAAATACTAATAGCAGTGCTTTTGTCCTGAACAGAGTAACAACAGACAGCAGATCCAAGAAGACAACTGGAGGATATGGTAGCAAAAAATCCACTGGATCATCTAATCACTCGTCGTTACATTCAAATTCTGAAATGAACACTTATTACGACCAAAGGACATTTAGTAATTTTGAAATAAGTGGTCGTCATAGTGAAATAGGATCATGGCAAGATACCAGGCCAAGTTTAGAATCTAGTTCAAAGAAAAAGAGAGACAAGGACAAAGACGTGTTTAGAGATAGATTAAGAAGTGAAAACGAGCTTCCTCATTTACCTGATTTACATGGAATAGAAGGTACTGTAACAACTCCAAGTATAAACCGTCATGTTAGGGGAAAATAATTATCTATCATCTTGTTGGGGAAAATTATTAAAAAAAGCTTGTGCATGTATTTTATGCTTACTGTCACTCCCTGTGAGCTCTTCCATGAGGTTCCTGGCTCACTTAACATGCACTATTACTACATTCACCATTTACAACACACAAAATCAGAGAAAACCCTCTTGGCAAGGAAGAGAACATCAAACAAACTCACTACACATATGTAGCACAGTCAAATATTAAACCTACAACCACAGTTGTGAATGGTGAGACAGTAAAGCAGCAGCACATGCCACCCTAAATTACACATGGTGACTAACGTATGGCAGAGATGGGGGGCAGGTGAAATTGAGGGGGGATTGGGAAAATTTTGGTAGGAAAAAGGGGGGGATGGGCAAATTTTCATCAGAAAAATGGGGGGATGCACAATTTTTGGAACAAGCTACAAGCCTTGTTTTGGACGGGGGTTGTATTTTCTTTGCATGACTTTTAAGGGGGGTGTTAAGAATTATTCTGGACATTTAAAATTATCACCTGCCCCCCCCCCCCCCCCCCCCCCCCCCCCCCCCCCCCCCCTCCTGCCATACATTATGAACACAGCCTTAGTAATCATAACAATACAGTTGCTTTCAGTAGCTGACCATGCCAGTAAAGATGAACAAAACAAGCAAGAGGTTTGATGTGTCTGGTCTAACTTACACGTTGTACTTTCTTGATCACAGGCAAAAGTTACAAGGGAAGTAAAAACTCCAAGAAGACAACAGTATCGATGATGCCGCACATCACTAACCTGACACCATTCCAGAATGGACCCTCTGGCCATCACCAAGTATGTACCTACCTACACAGCACTTACTAACTACTACACAGACAAAATCTTTTGGCTTCTGACATAATACGTAATATACCAGTTAGAACAGATGACTCAAAAGTGACAACTTAGCATTCAAATTTGCTAGTGCTTTGGCAAGTTTTCAAAAGCTAAATTTGTAGAAGCTGATAATATTGCCCGATGTTGTTTCAGTTGCAGATTGAAATAATCTTTATTTGAACCCTAACACCTAACTATTTATCAGTTAGACGACATAAAAACGCGCGCCCATGGCGATATAGACGCATGAGAGAAAATATAAAGAACGATTAACAAAAGAAAGAGTGGCATGAGGCGAAGCCRAGTGACACTCTAGCTTGTTAAGAGTTCTTTATATTTTCTCAAGTGCGTCTATATCGCCATGGGCGAGCGGTTTTTTGTCGTCTGATTTATAATACGACCAAAAATCTACCGTGGGACCCATGGGCAAATAGTTCATAGGCATTTCAGCCAGTCAGAGCACGCGTTATATCACCCATCTCGCTCGTGCTATGACGCCATCGGGTTTGAAAATTTAGAGAAAAAAAGGCGAGCGTCCGTTGAGATCAGCAAGCGTGCAGCCCATGGGGAAATAGTTCATTGGTTTTTAGCCAATCAGAGCGCGTGTAATAATCTAGTTATATTATAATTTAGTGTATTGTACCATTATTGATCATCATGTCAGATCTTGGCAGTGAAATATATGTATAAAAGATGACTTGTCTGAAATGAATAGTTTATAAATTGAACAGAATTTACTTCCAAATTTACATCAAAATTTGTTCTTGAGAATTCTGCTTGCAAAAAATAGAGATCAAGAATTTTGTTGTGCTTTTTATTTATTTATTTATTTTTTTGCCTTTTCTTTTTGAACAAATCAAATGTCTGACTATTAGATCATATCTTAGCAATTTTAATAATTTTGCTTTATATACGGAGTTCACATACTGACTTCAGAATTGTCTGTCTTGCTTTCAGGGGTCATCACCGCAGGGACATTATCAAGGTGGAAGTCATGACTCTAATCTTCCATCAGTGTAACAAACAGCCGTCATCATGAATAATAATGAATCGAGTATCACCAATACATTACAATAGGACCAGTGTTTGTTTTGGTCTTATTGTAGAAATCCAAAAGTAGCTTTTGTCAATTTTTTGCATTTATTATTATTAATTATTATCAGAAATGTCAAATACATCAGGTTTCTGAAGCAACGTATTCCTACGTAGGTACTGTAGCATGTTATGCTTGTATCAAATGGATTCTACATAATCAAATATTACTAGGGGAATGCATATTCAAGGACAATGAAGCTAATCTATAATATGTTATAAAAATGTATATCTTTGGTAATAACTACTTGATAATTTATTTCAAAGTCATGTTTGTTTGTATTCAATGGTATTATTAAATAGGGTGGCAAAAGAAACGACCAACAACAATACAGTAATTAGTAAGGAATATCTATAGTAACATAACTTACGTATACCATTCATTTGCTTCTTACAAAAGATATCAATCATTTGTCAAGGTGTAGAATAATCTATTATCAATTATTATTATTAATAACATGATTTGATGATCAAAACAAATAGCATTAAATTAAAATTTTGCTTGTTAGGAAGTTCCATATTTTATACTAAATTTCATAAGTCAGATTTCACAGTTTGATTCAACCACTACCAAGGACAAACAATGAGTACTAGYGTTCTTTGTTTCATCTACTTGTGGTGGATAACCTTAACTCAGTTTTGTAATATCTATTAAGGCTGATTTACATCATACGGTACAATTTTCCCTCACAACTATTGTGCCAAACATGCTTATGCCAAGTTTTAGCTGCCGTGTACATGTATAGCATAAGCAAATTGCATTGTCACAGTCATCTACATGAAGCAGTTATGTCGTTAACATGTTGCATACGGCAGTTGTGAGGAAAAATCATACAATGTAAATTGGCCTTTAGAGTTGGTTAAATCTGTTGGATTTCTAATTAGTAAAGTTCTTGAAAAATTATGAAAACAAACCAGGATCATACTCTCAATATACAAATCACCAAGTCTGTACAAATCTTTGAAATAAGATCATCTTTTTGCTACTTTTTTAAGTTTTATCACTATTGTCTCTGATATCTGCCTCTGGTGTTGTATAACCTGAACTATTTTGTTACGTATTGTACAAAAATATTCATATCCATTTATGGCTGTCTAAGTAACAAAAATATTGAATTGGAATAAAAATACATTTATTAACCTGCTTAAATTAACCACTTGTTGACAATTATCTGGACAGTCTTGATGGATTCCTTGTGTTGCAGTAAAACTTGTTTTTTTTCTTTTCCAAAAATATTGTTAACTGCATCACAAGATTAGAATAGATTATGAAGCATAGGAAATTTTGTACTAAGCCAGATAGCCAACTTCATGGTCTTCCATGGTCTCTTACTAGGAGAGGTTCCATTCATATTTTCTCAGGCTTTAAACCTCTTTGTTTTTTTGTTAAGATAAACTATAGATAGCTACATATGATGTATTATATCATGAATAGTCATACCCAGAGTAAAGGGATGGATTTATGCATAATGCAATTGCTAATGTCCTTGCCCAAACCCAAAACCTCCATTCTGAACAATGAATTCATCCATTGCTTCATTGAGTTTAGCTATTCTGTCTTCTGCTGCAACCCTGCGAAAATGAATTAACAAATGAATTGATGAAAGAATGAATGAATGAATGAATAAAAAATGGATGAATGAGGAATCAATCCACCAATAGATGGATGAATAAATGGATGCAAAGGATAAATGGAGAACTAAACATTGTTGAGATGAAAGGATGGATGGAATATAATGGATAGGTAGATGGAAGAAAATAAATAGTTGAAAGGATAGAGCAGGTTAGAATCTAATGAAAGGATGAATGGGATGGACATGCACTCATGGAATTGACTGACAGAAAAACAGATACATGTACTTCAGTTTTTACCAAATGAATTTTCTCCCTTTCTGATTGGTCTAGAGCCAGGGGAGATAATAGGACAAACCAATTACATCAGCAAATCGCAMGCACTTGAAACCGTTTTTATTCTAAATTTTACCCTTGTTTTCATAGTAAAATTGTTAATTTTCTGTGGTAAAAAACCACCAAGGGAGTCCACAGCATTTTGACGGCTAGATGACRAAAATCRTGATAAATAAGAGGACATACCAAGGAAAACTAGAGGAAATTGGTTAAATTTCCTYTGTTCAACCCCAAGCCTCTATTGAGTTTCCCTTCAAAATAAGTCCCCAGTCCAACAGCACTGACAAAGAAGAAGCCCCCAGGGCGGCTTTATAGAAGAAATATAGCGGATAGCTAAAAGAGCTAAAAATTCAAGGATGGGGTGAATGAATGAAAGATGATACAACCAAGAAGTGACTGATTTCAACAGCACCAAAGATAAGAAATATGTTACTACAATAAACCATGTTTGATATTGTATATCTAGCCTGTGTAGCAGTGCTTTGGGGAGGGGAAGGGGGACCACTAGGCTATTGTATAAATTATTCTAATACAAAAGTCAAAATGGAGATTTCAAGTCAAACCTTGCTCGTTGTTCGTCTGACAGGCGAATTAACAGCATTTCTTGTACTTTTCTTTGTTTTTCTAAATCCATTTGTAACTCTTTTATTTGTTGCTGTTGCAGCTCCATCTCATTCTCCATTTCTTCAACTTGAGTCTTAAGATCTTCTTCTATAGCATCAAAAAATAATTTTGGAGGGTTTTAGAGGATTAGAGGATTTAAATCTTCAATTCAATCTAAAATCTCCCTCAAGATTGCAGTTCTTTGATTGACTCGTTGAAATGCTAGTCGGCGAACGAGAAATCAAACTTTGGGGGTRGCACTTCAACAATATTGGTAGTATTACAGAAACCTGAGTGCATGGTTCGTACAACTCTGGCAAGATAAAGTTCAAGGACTTTTTAAGCAATTATTGCTTTGATGTCAAATATCTTATGGCAAATGCTTCTTTGAATTGCATTATTTCGCACCATGAAAACAAGGCAAACAGATATCATTTTGAAAATGAGCCACAGACGGGGAAAAAGTCATAAAAATTCTGTTATAATTTTATTATCATGAGAAAGCAAAATAAATAAAAATCTAAGGACTGTTTTTTCTTTGTCAAGGAATTTTGCTTAATATTCAAAAACATTTACCGTTGGGACACTTGAACCATGAACACTTCAAGGTTTTTTTGACATTTTATCATAACTATCCAATCACAGCTCTCTGAAATGAATCCAACATTGTTTAAGGCACCATCCAATCACAACAAATGGTGGAAAATCTTAAGACGTTTCATTTTTAGTGCACTCTGTGTGAACTTATGAACTGCTAGTTCACATATTAAAACGTGGTAGTATGCAAAACTGTGGCACAAAGTGCAAACTTTCAATGATTTACAGAATTAAACAAAAACATTGTTCATTGACAAAGTAGCTGTTATAAAATGAAACTTTTAACCCTCACTTTCATTGCAACAACAACACAATAGCAGGGCTGTCAACCCCCGAGATATTCAAATCTGGAGAATTGATAGGGAAGGGACATGACGTCACAGCGCGTCAAAAAGCGCGCGAAAAGACGCCTTTCGGTTTTTAACATTTGATGTGATTGGTTTATTTCTGACCAATCAGATTATCGCTTACATTACAATGGCCTGCTTGCAAGAACAGCCATGAGGAACGTTTTGATTTTGTTAGCGATGTAAAATAACACAAACAACGTAAGATAATTAGAATTTTATGGTTGTGAAACTCGGGTCTCACAAGAAAAAATGGTCAGCTTCGGGGATTATCCGGGAGATTTGAGACTCTAATCTGGAGACTGGGAGATACGGCCCAAAATCTGGAGACTCCCGGTTTATCCGGGAGAGTTGACAGCCCTGCAATAGACTCTGAAATTGCATGAAAAAATGTTGGAACCTCGGTAAGAACCTGGCTTCTGATTGGATGATTCCAAAAATGTTTAAAAAAATCTTGAAGTGTGCATGGWTCAAGTGCCTGCACAGCAAAGAAAAATCAGAATTCAAGGACTTTTTAAGGTTGTACAAACCATGTGAGTAGGGCAACACCAGGAATTGAAACAAGTAATAATGTCAACATAATTATTGCTCACCTTCTGCAGGGCCATTGCTTATTGCTTCCTGAAATAATTCATTTTCTGTCACATTAAAATTCCCCGATGGTGATGCTCCTGGAGCGGAGGCCCGCTGCATGACAGGTGACTCACTACTAAAGTCTATTAGAAGTTTGGATTCTCTATCTGGCCTGAAATGATAGTCAAAGATAATACATGTGAATTTAAGAATAGGACTTAGGCCAAAATATAAGGGAAAATAAGCAATGAAGCAAACACACCAATGTAAATTAATTCTGATTTCAGTAAAAATTTGCTCATTACAAAATTGAATCTTTTTTCTTAGGACCTTAAAAGATGTCTTTTCTAATAATAATTAGCTGTTGTTTTGAAATGTGATTGTCCCGGTGAACGTAGTCTTGAGAAAGATTGTTGTTGGTGGTGACTGACGGTATTTAACTGCTTGTACAAGAAAACTTACAATTTGAGGATGAAAAGTATCAGACGAAGAAATCCCATTGTGTAGTTCCAGAAATTATCCATACCTYCTCAGGAAGGAMATTTTTTAAAGACMCYCTCTGCCCCAGGAAATTCCAATTTTCTTTCATACAAACTCTGTAATTTTTGTTCTTTCTCTGACCCCTCTGAGAGAACCAGCCAACAAACTTCACAGTAGTTTTCTACTCATAAAAAAATAATCAGAGCCTATAAATCTTTACATATAATATGGAAATTAAAATAACACATACATCACAGKAGGTCGACTGTATGTATGTTCGTCGTCACTAGGAGGAAAGAAGAGTTCGTGTTGACGTATCAGTATGCAAATAAGTGCAGTAACTTGTCCAGTACTCTCCATCATAACCTGTGGGTCTTCTGACTGTGAAAAGACAGAGAATAGCTTGTTACTTCAGACCTTAAATGATGGCTATAAACCTTTTAACCCTCTTTACTTTGGGCAGAATGTTTTCCCATTTCAGACCACATCATTTCCAAGAGTAACATTTCTTTGCTTAATGGTTGTGCATGAGAAGACACATGAATATGGATACAACTCAAACTTTGTAAAGAATCTTATTCTCAAGGAGAATGACACTTGGTCTGACCCCCAAGGTAAAGATGTCTATTGCATCTCAAAAGCAACTTCATAACAGGGTCCATTGAGTGAAAGGGATGGAATGAGGGGGATTTAGCCTCCCTGCTTTTAGYTAGCATCCACTGAAATTTTCAACTCCCCACTATTACTCTAACTAAAGCATACAAACATTCCCAGTCTCCTAGGTATTTTCAAGTCCCCCACATTCAAAAGTGCTCTGTAGCGTTTGTATAATCAAATATCTTACTTACCCCTGATCTCAGAATATTTGGACCAAATACCATAGCAACATTACGAGTGTCCATTTTGTTCTCGTCAGAATGTTCTTGTACCTCAAACAGGAAACGACTAAAATATGGTACAYGTAGTTAGATTCACTTTAGAAATGTGTTAGGGATGGACCATCAGATAATTGGAGGGTGGGGGGTACAGGAATTTATGTTGTTATGTGATTATTTTTTTGTAACAACCCCTGAACTCAATTTTTTAGTTTGCTTGATATTTCTTTTATTGAAAGGAGAGGTTGTGTGATATTTTTTTCGTAGGTGAAGTGCTTGCTTGATATTTTTTGGGGGAATTACTATATCCCCCCCCCCCCCTTCAATTATCTAATGGTCTTTCCCTAATAGCAATGAAGACAAAAGGTCTTTTGTCCATGGCTATATAGTGCTACCTTTGTACAACAAGTACAAGCATTTTAATTTACTGGGATATTAAATTATGAATTACATTTTTACAAAAAAAGGTTTGTGTTTCAAGTACCTACCACAACATTTTAAGAAGGTTATAGTTAGCTTTGGGTAGCTGTTGCAGATGTTTCTGGATGGATATTATGCCATCAATTTCATACATTTCATAGCCTAAATGWTAAAACACTGCGTTAAAACATTCTGTCAAAAATCCATCAATGGGCTTCCTGTGGTGGTTTCCACAGGCTATCTGTTTAGATTTGACTATACATACATTTAGCAGCAGTAAGAAAGACTTCAAAAAAGTCATAAGGGATGACAGGTTCACTTAGTTCTCTTAGATACAGCTTGAGAAGTGAGGCTACTGTGTGAATATCTCGATCAGAAATATCTGGGTTTTCACCTACAAATGAAAGAAATGATTATTATAACTCACTGTTAATTTATTTAATGCTAAACACAGAAGACAGACAGGCACACCTGTTGTGCCATACCGTGTTGGTTACTGCTCTGTACTGCAATGATAATGGCGTAGTGTCTGATCTCACACATGTGAGTAGTTTCAAGAATGTCGACAACTATGCCAGGGCGTGGAAGGGTATTCACGGGAACTGGAAAACGGATTAAATATAGCTCGGAATCCAGGAAACTAGAAAAACATCTCACATGATTYGGGATATTGGCATCAGCCGTGACTCAGGAATTGCYGAATCACCGGATGTGGGATTTTKCTTATTCTTGTTTTCGGGAAAAACGTGAAAACCTTAACAAATAATAAAAAATTCAACGCCTTTGAATAATGTTGAATGTGGTTGTCGATGGGAAAATGTCTTAGGATGCTGGATTTGCATTAAAAACAGCATGTGATTTGGGATCCGGCCCCCTCCTTCCAGATCCTGTTATGTGCTATGATGGCATTTATGAATATTACAGCCTCTATATTATTAAATACTACCTCTGTTAAATGCTGCTTTCAATTCTGTAATGATCTTCATGTTACCGGGAAGCCTGAAAAGACCTTCTTCATCAAGACCTGATGACAGAAGATATTAATGATGAGTAAAGCATTTCATCCCAAATCAGAATTTAGGAATTGGTTTTTGAAAAGGGATGAAAAATGGAGGACCTTGACAAAATGCTTACAGTTCAGGAGACAGTAAATTTATATCATTGCTATTTTAGGGAAATAAAACAGATTCTTTTGCACCTGTTCATTAATACATCATGCAGGAAATGATGAAAGTAATGCCACTATTTTGAGCCCTGAAGCAGTCTTACTGATCAAAATGACCAGCAAGCCAAAGATTTGACCAGACAAGTCCCAGCTCTGGCCAGACATTGTCCAACCATTACTTTAAGCCCTGTCACTTATTAGCTTACCATTTTCTCTTATATACTTCATGCAGATGTCCACAATAATTGGTACAAAACCTCCACCTTTTCTTGCTTCATACTTGATGGTTTCAGCCAAGTCACCTCCAAACATTCCTCCACCAAATGGCTGTGGATAATAACAGATATTAGTCWAATACACCTAGCGGTCTATCATCAATGCTGCATTCCAATTGCATGAGCTACTAATAGGCTATAAGTTATATACTACTAGTAGCAAAAAGTGCTGGCTTTGATAACCAAAACATTAACATTACTTTATGTGACTGATGTCACGCAACACAGTCACTGTTTTCTTAAGTGAGTATCAGATTTCATTAGTTTAGTTTGGGACGTGTGGCAGTTGCCCGTGCTTAAGTGATTTCGTCTCAAGAGGTCAAGTTAGGACTTCAAGTTAGAAGTTAACATCTGGACAAGGTACCGATCATTTAATATGTTTGTAAAGTGTTTATGTATTGAATCTTAGTCTTAATAATTCGTTCCATCGCGTATAATTCCGATACTATTTAGTTACATTCCTTTGTTGATCTACTTGTAGTTTTACGGATAAGTCAGAGATAGTCAAGATTGACGAGATATACGAATAGAGATCAATCCAGTAAAGCAGTCCAGTCTTAATTTGCCTAGCAAAGGCCACACTTTAATTCAAAACTTGTTAGTATCTATATATTTGACCYACTAAATGGATTTGACTAAAAYAATTCGGCCTCAYGGGCTACATGTATTGACTCATAGCCTATTCAGGCTCAAAGACTATTTGCTAAATATACTGTACATGGTTACTTTGCAATTAATATTACCTGGTATATAATACGATTTATGACACTGATCCAGGAGTCCATTTCTTGCATTGTGGATGCAATCAATACAAACGTTTCATGACCCTCAGTTACATTACGCCCTGCTTTATCCTTGCCAGCTTTAAGAGAAAATAAGATATCT